AGTTTAACCTAGTATGTGCCATAAGATAGGAAAGCCCAAGACAATGTTTACCAAAAATATTTCACGTATAAGGGATTGCGTCTTTAATGGCTTTGAGTATAGTAACCATTTGCTATGCCTACCGAAAAGTTTTTTCGCCCATCTTTGTCCACTTTAAGAATTAAGGTTCAGAGTATCGGGCACCGCTGCCCACTCAACCTAGAATAGTAGAAATTTTGTTCGCGATTTTCGAAACAACCTGAACCTAACTCCCTTACTATACTTAGTGTGTATTTTATACTCGATTGTTAAATTTGGTGTTCTCGTCCACCCCTTTTAAACTCACTATCTTTATTTCTAATAATGAGTGAAAGGATTTTGGTAAACTAAAAATGGAATTTTATTTTTAAACCTTGTGGGTGCACGTTGTGGGAATCACTTAGCAAGTATCATGGGGTCCATATTATGTACCCCAGTTTGGTTTTTATTTGTTTTCATATTTGACATCTAAACAACAACTAAAAACATTTAATTGACATAATATGGAAAAGATTTAATAATTATCACAAAATTGCTACTATGTGTACTATGTCTATGTGATAAAGAGGTTAAATGGCAATTCACGCTTGATACAAAAAACATTGAATATTTGGAATTCATCATTCAATTTTTGGGATTTGTAACATGCAGATGCTAAAAGAGAAAATACTCTGGCATACGCAATATGGTATCAGACAGCAAACACATTAGCAAACTGTGAGTTTAGGGGTACAATTGGACCCCATGTTCCTGTCAAACGTTGGGCCTGATTTGTATGTAACATAACTGTGCATGTGGGAAGCAGATGAATACCCATCTCTTCGCTAGGTGTAAAATGTGTAGGAGACAAAGTCACTAAATTTCAGAAAGCAGTACCCAGTATTATAAAACACTATAAAACATATACCGACAAGATTTAATGAAATAAAAGGAAATGGGGCTTAACGTCCTACTGCTCTAAATTCACATTTTAGTAACTATCAGAACTCTGATTGGTTGATCACATCAAATGGCTGATTTTGATCAAACTTGAAATAAACCTTAATTTATCTCAGTCTCCAACTTACATTCTTACTGTGCATATTTTTTATAGCCTATTTGAATCGGTTTGGTCGACATTATCTAAACTATGAGTCCCGATATCAATCCCACCCTCGATTCTTCAGTCTGGTGGCTAAATGTGGGTTTAATCCATCATACCCATGAAAGCCAAATTTACAGCTATTTATCCGAACTACTAACACCAAATCCACCAAATCGGTCCTTGAGATCTTAGAACCAGAACAATCTTTTGGTTCCACAGTCGAAATTGAAACTTTTTAGTTACAGAAGTTTCAGTGTAGTTGCTCCTCAATTGTGCAGTGATTTACCTATACTCTGTAAATCCTAAACTGTGAAATTTTGACTACTTTCAAATCACAACTCGGGAATGCTATGGGAATTAGACTTTCTGTTCACTGTGTATATAACTATTTTCTCAATGCGCTTTGAGCATGCTTTTGGCGCTTTACAAATGTACATTATTATGTCGGAAACCCTGACACCATATTGTGTTTTTTTTATCTACATGTATATATATTAAAGTTCACATAATGACGAAAGGTTAAATGCAATGGCCTTGAAGGTGCACACCTCATTATTATAACCCGACTTTAATCTTAAACATCGGTTGTCTGTCAACGAAAAATACGCCTACAGCAGTCAAGTCATCATTTTGGGGACATTTACAACACATTAAAAACGTATCAAGAGTAACAAGTAAATTTCATCTGAATCCTGCACTGACTGTAGCCAAATGAAATATGCACAGATGGCATTGGTGTTCAAATTTATGTAATTGATATAATAGTAAAACAGTCATTGCATTTCAAATGATCAATGATGCAGTAAGTTCGTCAAACACATGCATATTAGTCCAGGAGCTAGCAAAGATTTAATTAAAATCTCAAGTTCAAAAGGTTTGAGGACTGGAATTAGTAGATATGATCATGGAACCCAATAAATGCAATGCTTTAAAGATACATTATGTAAGATTTAGATAAAGAGCTAGCCATTCTTGCTATAATAGTTTGAAAAAAGATAATGTAAAATGAATAATTTGAAAATTTCATTCAAATTACTCTATTGCGAGCGAAGATATTAGCCTTTGAAGGTTTGACAAGAAATGTGCAATAATTTCAACATCGCTCCTTCATTTTTAGCTTAAATCAAAATATGGCTGAATTGTTCTAATCTATTTAATATCGGAGAAATCTGATGCCATCGAGAGTTGATTATGGCCTGAATAATCTAATGTCTAATTAATAATTTAGAAAACATTTCAGGCCTAAAGAAAGACCTGCAATAGGCAGATTTAGCTCTTGCATAATGTATGTTTAAGTAATGCTTTTTGGGACACCACCTGGTGGCGCTGTTCACATTACAACCCAAATTATCACAACTCGAGTACATCCATGAAACCTGTGTTTAACTGCTACTTAGGCTTCCCAATGACAATATAAATCCTTCTGAGTAGTCAATTGTGAGGATTATCCCACTTCTGAGTAGGTCAAAGGTGACCATTGTTGGCCACATCCATTCTACCATAAAATCAATCTCAGTGCAAGATCAAAATGGGTCAACATTACTCCTTTTGAGTAGTCAGTGTTGGGAATTATATGACCAGGTAGTATTTAATACAGCCATTCACCCAATACCCGGCATCTCCACCATATATCATCCCTTCAGTATGTCCCTTGCCTGCCTGTGGGGTTCTACCTATGATCTACAATCTTTCCTCTAATATACTAGAGGTTACTTGGTAACAATAAACAATACATAGTAATTATATATACTATTCAAAAAAAGTAGGGGATATTTGATTTTGGGGGCATAATACTAAAATATGCAAATGACTACGAAAAAAGTCACTATAGAACCTAACAGAAGAAACATTTCCAGTTACATGTGACGCCCAAACACACCAATAGCTACCGCATGGAATGCAGGTGATGCTTGGGATCATCATGGGGGTCCAACCCAAGATTTGCACGACTCTGACTTTGAATGTTACAGTCATTGTGGCATTGAATTCCAGGGTGGAAACATCAGTTTAATTGTTTTAGTGACCAGAAAACAAATTTTGATATGCGTCGGCTTACCCAAAATGAAAGGTTACGTGCCCTTGGCATGCTACAGATCGGCACAACACAGGCGGTTGTGGCGCGGACGATGAATGTTTCTCAGTCTGTCATAAGCAGGCTATGGTCCAGATACCGTGATACACAATCTGTACAGGACAGACCACGCTCAGGTCGACCAAGGGCGACAACTCAAGCCCAGGATCGATTTATCCGTACCTTGGCCTTGAGAAATCGTGTCATCACAGCAAATCAGATCAGCGCTCGTCTTCAAACAGACACTGGTGTGAGAGTGAGTGGCCAGACGATTCGGAATCGACTGCATAGGGGTCACCTTCGCGCCCGACGCTGGAGCAATGTGATGTTTTCAGATGAGTCAAGGTTCACTGTTGATTTTTTGGACAGACGTAGGAGGGTGTGGCGTCGTCAAAACGAGCGCTTCCAAGACGTTAACGTCATCAGACATGATGGATTTGGGGGTGGTTCTGTTATGGTGTGGGGAGGCATCACTGTTGCTGGAAGAACGGCTTTACATGTTGTTGCAGGGCGTGTTACAGGCCAGTACTACCGGGACAACATCTTGGCAGTCCATGTTGTGCCGTTCGCATGACGTCATGGCCGCCGTTTCATCTTCCAGGATGACAACGCAAGATGTCACAGGGCCAGGATCGTTACAGGTTACCTCCAACAACAGAACATCACCACATTACCTTGGCCAGCACTGAGTACCGACCTCTCCCCCATCGAGCATGTCTGGGACATGCTTGGACAGAGGTTACGTCAACGTCAACAACGTCCTGCCAATGTCCAAGAACTTGCTGCTGCGTTGCAACAGGAATGGGACAATCTGGACCAAAATGACCTTAGACGTCTCATTAGGAGTATGCCACGTCGGATCAATGCTTGTTTGGCAAACAGAGGAGGATTTACCCGTTACTGACTTAGTTGTGATGCTGTGGTAACTTTGCTGTTTGACCCCGGGTATCATTTTACCCTTATAATGGTCAGTTTGTGCCTTACTTAGTCTAACGATCATTTGGAATAAATCGATGAATGTGAACTTCATTTCATTTTGTCATTTGTTTCTTCGTCAGTTTCATTAGGTGACTTTAATAACACTTAAAAATCAAATATCCCCTACTTTTTTTGAATAGTATATATCTAAACTTAATAATATTTTATAGTTGTTAAGGGGTAGTATTTAAGTGACATCCATTCATTCATTTACTAAGTTTACAAATGTTTATAGATGGATTATCTCATTACTACTATTGTCTCTAATCTCTATCATAGCTGACCATTGATAACTTACTATAGATAATCCATCTTGGGAGCCAAGTTGTGGTGTAAGTCTAGCCCTGTATTGGGTGAATGACTGTATTAATACTACCTGGTCATAATTAACCCATTTCTAAGTAGGTCAAAGGTCACCAATGGTCCAGCAGGCCCAGTCCACCTTAAATACATACGGTATCTCAGTACAAGCACAAAATGGGTTTCAAACTGTTCCTTGGGACCCTGTGGGCACTACATCATTCCTTCCACAAGGAAATAAATCTCATTCGAGTACCAAAATTATTAGGTCCATGGAAAAAGAAATGAAATGGGGTTAATGATTTCCGACTGGGTTAAAGAAGAAGGGCCATGGAAAATGGAAGACCCCAATTGAGTGGATCTTTATGAAATTTGTTGAACTATTGGCTTTCCATAATATTAATAGAATTGTTACATCTGTTTTAAATTTAAACATTAAAATTGTAACAGTGTCTTGTTGCCAGGCAACCTATGTTTTATTACATTCAGACTGTTTTCACTCAAAGCAGGCTTCATTGTTCCAAAAGCTTTCAAAGAAAAAACAATTCATATCATGAAATATATTTATTCTTTTTACATAAAGTACAAAATTAAATGATGGATTTTGTTTTGTTTGTTTATTCATCACGTCAAATCACAGACATACAAAACATTAAGTAACAAAGAAACATTTAACAAAACTCACAATAGTACCTTTTGTACAACAACCAAATAATTGAAATATTAATAATAATAATCAAATTCATAATCAATATTTTCTCATATCCTCTCCTTGCATAACAATGCAAAATCTTTTGCATATGCATCATAAATATTATAATCTAAATCATCACAAAAATATAACAATAATCATATAAGTAGTAATATTTCTTACAGAATATACATTTAAAATATGTATACAAACTTCAATCTAAGTATAAAATCTTCACCAAAAACAATTATCTAAAAAATAATTATAATATAGCATGTAATGTGTAGCATTATTCATAGGTGGGGTGACAAGCTACATAATAGGCCAAACAACATAATGTAAATTGAAAGTATGAAGAGAAATCCTACTTGCTCGAATTGCACACTTGTGACTTGTGGCACTTATTTCTGTGAAAAACCAGCAAAAATTGTTAAAATTAATTGAGCTAAATGCATCCACCCAGAGTGAAATCTATTGACAGGACTTGATGATGATTCTTTCAAAATAAAATGTCATATGTCCATGTAGAAATATTCAAAATGAACCTCAAGCTAAAAAAAAGAGGCTTCTACACCAATAAGAAGACAATTAAATTAATGCTACAAACCAAATAAATGGGCAAAGAATAAATGTATTTCTATGCATACCCCAAACGATATTCTGTATTCTAGTTAGTGCCAAATTTAAGTACATGGTTCATTTTTAGATAGATCTGAACAATAATTTTTTAGGGCTTCCAAGAAAACAATTTATGTTTGTCACCTTAACATATAAATTTTTTTTTTAGACAAATCCAAATGTTGGTTGGTGGTCACTGACCCTGCATAGAACAAACAAAAATAATCTAGGCTAGTCTCTATTTTGAAACTATGGTACTATTAATAACCTAACCCATTAAAGCTGACTTATATTTATAATAATTATTTTATACTAAAACATAGTTTAGGTGACTGTTTTACAACATAAAATACAAAAAAAGGTTCAGATTTTGATTTCTTAAGGGGTTCAATCTTTGGCACAGATGTCACAATTAAAGACAGGAAGACAATAGGATAATAAATGAAATAATGAAAATGGTTTTGGCCAGAAAATCAGCACTCTTTAAATGAAATAAGATTTAAATCGGTTATATATATATATTAAGCTTAAGATCTTGAAGAAGATACATTTTACAATTTAAACACAAGACAAATATTCTCATTAAATTGTCTTTTAGGTATGTGCAGAGAGTATGCTGAAGCCCAAGAAAGTTATAATAATGAAATCACTAGTTTCATTTTTTGTACCTAGATAAAAGATTGAATATGTATAAAGAGTGCAGGAAACACAATGACATGTCAGAAGAAATCAAAGACTATAACAGTAATAAACACCTAACATGTTATTAAAATTAAACACTTTTCACAGTTCTTTTATTTAAAAATCACAACAATAATAACATGCTCTTAATAAAACACATATACCATGTATATCTTTTTTACTCCCATCATTCTTACATAAAATGCAAAAATTAGAAATTATTATCTTGGTTTATAATGGAGAAGAAAACCTATATTAAAATTAAAATTATTCAGAAAATCATGTTAGGCTACCTTGTCATCCAATCTTCAAAAGAGATAGTCAGTGTTAAATGTATTTGAATAATTTAAAATCAAATATATATTTTTTAACAAATTATTTTTGCGTTAACTCAGTAAGCTTTGTGATGAAGAAAATGCAAAATGTTTTCCAAGACAACTGAGACGTAAATTTGATTTATGTCAAATTCTTTTCATGATTTTGATTCATGTTGACAATCTGAATGAGATCATTTCAAGGACAGTACATGTATGATAATATAAAAAACATAATGTTTAATCTTGTCACAACAGTTTCCAATCAATCTTAAATTCTGAGCACTGACTAACCATTTCTATTAAATTAAAATTTGAGCCATATTTGAAAACAAATTATTCAGTGACCTAATTTTAACATTTAAATAGCTTTCTAGATGAAAGTTAAATAGATTAGTCTAATAGACATGCATGGAATTAATTTCAATCATGAAACAAGGTTTTCTTTACTTACAAAAAATATTAATTACAACCATGTTTTAATATATAAGAATATACATTATCGCTCCCCGATAGCTACTATGTAACATGTATGAGATATATATAATCTACTATGATATAAGCTATAGATTACATGTGGCCTGCTAAAATAATATGTTGTTTATACGCTGTACCCTTTCTTGAGATTCTTTTGCCAGTTATATAAAGTTGATTGGAAGTTTCAGCATTAGACGTAAGCTTATGTTGAATATCAGTGGAAACGTCAGGGAATGAATTTCTCCGCAGAAAGATGTTTAAAGGTGTATTGTAGAATTAGTTCATAGTGTTAAAGGTCTAATCAAAAAATTAACCATATTTAGTTTTAGTTCATTATAAATAGGTACCTCCAGCAAACTGTGTCTTTAAGGAGAACATATATTAAATCTATATATATATCATAATTTAAAACTGTCTCAAAAATATATTAATTACTGGCATTGTATCTTAATATCAATATCTGAAGATTCTTTTAAAGCTGATAAGCTTATTGTATCTAGGTAATTAAGTACTTATAATATAATGTAATTTAATACACATATTGTGTCAGTTTACTGACTGTGATAACAATTCTGCTGATTTTAGACATAAAAAATGTACATGTTAATGTTGAAGATTGTTACATGCCATCCAAGGCACGCCCTTCTCACTTTACATGAATATAATGTCATTTAAAAAAGTACACATCACAACCATGAAAATGCATAATATGCAATTAGTATGCAATTGCATTGATATAAAAACATATAAATAATGGATACTATAAATAGACATGTATGATTAAAATTTTAATGAAATCGGTTATTTCATGTTGTTATAAAATTCTCTCATCCACATAGATAATCAGATCTATAAAAAGGATATTTCTTTGCTTAATAAAAAAAACCCACCAGATTTTTTATAGTTTGTCTGTTCCTGGGTTTTGACAGGGCAATCCACCCACCCCCCAATATTTAAAAGCCATTTATCGTCAAGACTTTTTAAAATACATTGCACCATAAATCCATTAAATCACAACACCTTTGTGCAAACATTCAATTCCTCAGTCAATAGGTAATGTCATTGAGGAGTTTTTGAAACATGGGGTATTTTCCATCCTCAAGAGAAGGTTAAACTCGCGAATGTAAGCTAGGCTGTAATAACCTGGATGTAGCCCCATCGTCCTCACTTTCTGATGCATTGATTTCACTGTCCTCAAAATCACATAATCCCGAAATATCGGAACAGGAATTATTACGAGATAGATTACCTCCCATGGAAACACTATTGTCGTCCATCAAAGATAGCGACGAGCGTTCATTGTCTGTATTATAATCACTCAGTTGGCTCAAATAATGTTGTTGCCATGGTTGAGTTAATTGTACCTTAATAACACTATTATTGTCTCCATCATTACTGAAAGGATGACTATCAACGTCTGTAAAGTGGTCAAGAAAGGCTTCCTGATCATTGCTGCCGTTAATATCAAACCCTGGTAGATATAGATCTGGTGTCATATGTTGAAGATTGGTGGGTAGTTGATATTCTTCTACTTCCACATCAGGTATATTCAGTATACGTTGATAATTTGGATATTCGTCATATTCAGGAGGAGGATGTTCGTTATCTTCACCTTCTTCTGCAAATTCTGAATCTCCAACATATTCTGATTCGTTACCATTATAATCTGATTCCACACCTAAATCTACATGTGTATTAGAGTCATTACTATGGGCACTAGAACAAGGGGAATCTGGTACTTCAGCTGACGGTAGTTCACTGATATTTGGTAAATTTGGTTTTGGTGCCCAATCAGATGTATCCCAATGATAGCCTGAAATACAGAAATAGAGAAATAAACAAAAAAACAAAAAGATTCTGTTAGGATTTAAAAAATGCCAGTTTATTAAATGTTACCACAGAAGTTCGAGGTCTCATTTTGAATCAAAGAGTTCTGTTACAAAACTAAAAAGAAAATTATTAAGACATAAAAAAAGTTTTCAGATTATCGTATATAAGGCAGAATTCTTTATATAGAATTATTTAAGTCTAAGAGTCTTTGATGACAGAATTATTAATTATTTCGTACAATTCAAATCGTGATTAGTTTTACATCAAAGTCAGTTTATGAGATGTGGTGGGAGGATATAAAAGGGATATATGTTAAGAGTAAAATGGTATTAAAACCAACACCAAGTATTTCACTACTGGAATAAACCTCTTTATAAAATATTAAAATATAAAAGTAAATTACAAAAAAGAATATGACGCTATGAATTAAAAGTAACAACACCATCTAGTAATATTGTTAAATAAATTAAAAATGTAATTAATAAAAATGTTGAAACAGATTATGAATGAATTCCGCATATTCTGACAAAATAATATTTAAATAGACATTTAATTAATTCAGCTGGAATTTTTAAAACTGTACATATATACATTATTATTTGTGGCATTAAAAACAATAAGACCTGTTTTAAGGTATTAGTAGGGAAGGGTCTTAAATTCCAGCCAAGGTTTCATTTTATAAACATTATAAATTTTCATCTAATTTGACAACTACTTTCTCTTTACATTAGGTCTGTCTAGAATTGATGTCAGAACCATCTTGTAACTTATTTTGTCACTGTTAGATAATTCAGATAATTAAGAGGCATTTTCACTTTAACCCCACACCACATAAACATAATGAAGGTGATGAATAACAACAGTCAAAATTAACATGTAAGTAATATAACAGGTGTTTACAGATAAGGTTTATTCCGTCAACTTTGTCTTCTTCCATAGTCAAAAGTTATAAATAAAATTGTTGATTTCAATGAATTATATGTGTTGATTTGTTCTGTAGGATGACAATCTGTTACAGTTGAAAATTTTAAACTTAAATTAGTTAACTGGTTGAGTTCTGCCTAACAAAGATTTAATCATACAGGGCATGCACATATTTCCATATTGTGTCTCAAAGTTCTTAACACATCTGTCTCACAGATATCTGTTTGTCTTAAAGTGGAGTGGGGTTAGGCAGGCACGGCTATCGCTTGTCATTACAATCCTGGCATCGAAAGCAACCCACTTTCTTCAATGACAGGATTTCTGATCTAAGGGTTTTTAGGGGCGGGGGAACTCAAATAAAAGTAAACAAAATAACAATAAAAAATATAAAATATAATTTGATATAACTACCAGGAGAATTTTATATAAAAAATAACCAACCAAGTAATACCACTATCTACTGTAATAAGCATACACCCAGCCGAAATAAGGGAATAAAAGACAAATCTAAACTTTTGATTATTTACCATTTACAAGAATAAATTCACAGAAAAAGACAAATTGTTTTTGTTTAGTACACAAATCTCATACTTCTATATCTGGAGAAGAAATTCAAATTATTTTTACAAATATAAGAAAGTAGATTTTCACGGTTTCTGCTTTCTGATAAACTGGACACCATTAATTTTGTCATATTCTAAAAAATAACCTTGTCAAGTATTAAACATTATATCACTTCAACATGCCTAACTTTATTCTCTCACTGCTTAATTATCTCTTCCTGCCTTGCTTTTAAATGTTTCAAGCAATAACAATTAATTCAGCACAAAAAGCATTTATTATAAAAATGTCCTTTCGAGGAGTGCCTTTTAGACACTCAATAGACTGTTGACAGTTATTATACTGTTATCATACTGGTTTTTACTACTGGCTTGAATTGGCAGGTCACTTTAATACAGGTAAGTGACCTGATAGAGATGTCGATCAATGTAGAAAATTCAAATGAAGAATGGCCCAGTCTATGAAAACATACAAAAACCAATAAAATTTGTATATTATCAGGAGATAACTAATACCTCCATAGACTGGATGCTTAGTATAATGAATCTGACTATAATTACTATAATACCAATAAAACTTGTATAGTATCAGGATTCAGGAGATAACTAATACCTCCATACCTCCATGTACCTCCATAGACTAAATGCTTAGTATAATGAATTTGACTATAATACCATTACAAAATCCAGAACCGATAGTATTGCCAAACATGGACATTTATTTGAAAGTTAACCAGCAGTTGCAATGCAAGATACGCCCACATTTAAAAGAGATGGATAGAGAACAAGCGAAAAAAAGCGAATTTTTGTACAATCTGGGGTCATAATTCAGTAAGTTATGGCCTGAAATGAGCAAATATCGATAGGAACTGAGATCTTCGGGATGTAAACATTTATTTAAAGTTTCATTAAAATTAGACAAAAACTGTGACCTCTAGAGGGCCCACAATCTTCGCATTAAATACTTTACACTATTTGCATAAATGGAGTGGCCATTTATGTAGTGCAGTTTTGTTTGGATTTTTCCCGCAATTCGAATTCAACCTTTAATAAGGTGTAACAGTAAAATATAAAAACTGTGACCTCTAAGGGTCCACAAGCTAAAATCACCATTGTACAAAAAATCATGGGCCATAATCCAGAAAGTTACGGTCTGATATGCATGAGTATTGAAAGGAACCTAGATCTTTGGAATATAAACATATATCTTAAGTTTCATGAAAATCGGATCAAAATTGTGACCTCTAGAGGCTCCACAACCTTGATATTACATATCTTAACACTATTTGCGTACAGGGAGCGGCAATTTTGTCCGGCAGTTTTGGTCCAATTGTCACGAAATTTGAACTTAACAAATATGGTGTAACTGTGATATATTCAAAACAGTTTTTTAAATCGTATAAAAATTGTTATCACAAGCTAAAAATGCGATTTTTTGTACAATCAGGGGTCATAATCCTGGCAGTTACGGTTCGATATGTGCGAATATTGCCAGGAACTAAGATCTTTGGATTAAAAACATACATTTCAAGTTTCATCAAAATCGGATAAAAATAGTGACCTCTAGAGTGTCCACAAGCTAAAAACATGATTTTTCTTACAATCAGGGACCATAATCCTTGAAGTTACGGTTCAATATATGCCCATATCGAAAGGAACCGAGATAAACCTATATTTCAAGTTTCATCAAAATCAGATATAAATTGTGACTTGTAGATTGCCCACAAACAAATTGTGAACTTCCAGACGGACAGGGCCGACGACAATATAGGTCCATATGAAAATGTTGGCATATAAAAACTGATTTATTGGAGAGATTTTAGCAAACAGATAAAAACAGTAATATTTCACAACAAACGTCAATGCTATAAGCTTAAATTTAGTAACTTCCTAAAGGCAAATTTGCATTGGTTCCATCAAATACCCCAGGCCATTAAATATGGGATACATGTCTATGGAAAATAAATTTGAGAAAAACAAAAAGAAATATATGCAAGTAAAATGGTTATATATATTGTTGAATTAACATTTATATAAATCTTTATGTGAAATAATCCTACATATAACACCTGTAAAAACAATAGCCTGTCACATCATTTTAGATTTATACCAGGGACGTGTGACCTGTGAATAGTTAGTTTTTGAAATGGCTTAATTTGCGAATAGATGTTCATTTTTCATTATTTCATATACATGGTGAAATCCAATATTACATCTTGTGACCTTGACGAAATTTGCAGGTGTCCTTAATATTTAGATCTAAACTTGGTACAACACAATATTTCAATAGACAACAGTAAGGCTCTGTACATAAATTACAGCCTTGTGGGAACTTTCAAATATAACAATTGAAAGCCTATGAAAGTTACATTAATTAGGAAAGTAGTCCGGGACAGTGACAAAACAAGTTTAATAGCAGTTTAAATAGTTTGACACTAAGTAATCCATTAAAATATAGCCCAAGGATGAAATGTCCTTCTCAATGGCATGATTATTTAGCAGTTTTTATGAATATGGTATGACCAGCTTCTAATGGGTCCTATTCCAATAATAGAAGTCCTTTTGAATACTTTTGTTGGGAATTTTCCAACTATGCTACCAGTAAATGGAACAATACATTAGGAAAGACAGTGCGAGACCAGGAAAACAACAAATGTTGTATATGAAAATGTAAAATATTGTGCGACAGTACTCCAGTTTAAATGTAATGCCAGGTAAAATATATTCCCATCCAGGTTCCTGGAGGAATAATAAGAATAAGAGGATTTGCGAATTCTGATTTATCATAGACTTAAAGCATTAAACACTCTCATTATTTTCAGTTTAATGTATTATCTAAGCCATGGATTTTATGGATTAAAAGGATATAGAATTTTCTTAAATAAATAAATCATATGCCAAAATAAAAAAAAAATAAAAAATTTTTCTTTGAAACTTCCAGAATTCCCACACGTATTTCACTAATATAATATTTGCATCCTGTCTGAGGAGGTGTTTTTAAAGATGCATAATGTAAAATTTAGATAAAGAGCTGGGCCCTTATTCAAGAAAACTTAAACTAAGTTACAACCGAAATTTTAAGAAATACTGCAACTTCATTGGATATATGCAAATTGATTTTACTGGTCAGCCAATCGAATTGCAGTATTTCTTAAAATTTCGATTGTATCTTAGTTTAAGTTTTCGTGAATAAGGGCCCTGGATGTTTTTGCTATAATAGTTTAAAAATAGATAATGAAAATTAATATATATAGAAAATTTCATTTAAATTACTTTATTCTAAGCCAAGTTATAAGAGTTTTCAGGTTTAAAAAACAGATTTAGCCTTGCTTATTCATTTTATCGTTAAATTTTAAAATCTCATGGTTGTTTTAATCCATTTATATCTTGGCCATCCAGTGTTCTAGAGAGTTGACTATAGGCTAGTTATGTAAATAAATGTCTAATTAATAAGTTATATAAAATTTGAGTCATAAGAAAGACCTGCAATAGCCTGATT